TCGGGGTAGGCGAAGGGAATGATGAGCATATCTGCGGAAGTGCCTCGACTGGCGATGGGTGATCTTTGTCGCGTTCCTAATCTGTGTTGCGTTCCCATGACGTGATTGGCTGAGAGTCGGGGTATGTTAAACACCCCACGATGTTGTGGGGGGGTTGTCGTCGTGTCGAAGATCAAAAGTCTTATCGTATGATATGTCATTCTTCCTTTGGTTTTCGTGTGGGAATGACGAGAGATATATGATGATGTGTTCTGTTTTTGAAGTCCTTTAACTAAAGGCGCAAGGAGAGTATAAGTCCTTTTGATTGCGCAGGATAAAAGATCGCGCGCGTATGTTGGATGTGATAGCTGTAACTCATCCTGTCCTGCGTTTAAAGATTGACCACTGCAGCTCCTGCTGATAGTGCGAGGCGATTCGGTCGATTGATTGATTCGTTGAAATCGTGTGTCCGAGCTCCAAGAGAGAGAGAGAGAGAGAGACTATTGCAGCTCCTGCTGGTGGTTGGATTCGATTGATTGATTGATTCGTTGTGATTGGATTCGATTAAGTGATTGATTCGTTGAATTCTTCAGTCCGTTCTCACACACACACGCACACACACACACACAGAGAGAGAGAGAGAGAGAGAGAGAGAGAGAGAGAGAGAGGAATGCGAGCACCGACAAGCAGGGAATGGGGTTTGGTTTGACCCTCATTCTCCGTCCTTGTGTATAGTTAATCGACGGTTCGCAACCGTCATTAGGAAAGAATTTCGTTCATGCATTAAGCAACTACTGCTGATTTTCCACTGAATTGCACAGGTGGGCACCTCAAAATTATGAGGACGGGTTTGCGGCCAGGTACTGAATCTCGTCTTAAAATTTGAATGTGATATGTTCGGCCAAGGACGGTAGGGAGAACGTTTGTGAATAAGAGCACACGCCTATCGACTCCGCCGCCGTGTTCTATGCGAGAGAAAATGGTAACACGGTGTCAGGCAACCAGAAGCATTGGTAGTATTATCACAATGCAACTCCCTTGTGAGGGACGTGCGGTAATTCATGGATGATGAGGGTAATGAATGAATCGGAGGCCGGTTTGCGGTCGCGTACATTCATAAGGCTTAGGCAAGCACGTTCTACTCGAGAGAAGATCAGAAAGTGGTGTCGGGCAATCAGAAGTTTTTGTAAATCCAATCAATCAGCATGTAATGTATTCAGCATCTGACGGTTCAGGTACGTCCAGGTGCGTCTTCAACACAGTACTGTCCTTGCGCGTTATCAAGCAATTTTGACACGCATTTAGGTAGGTCGTGTCCATCGAAGGATCTGACATTTTGATTGGAGCCCGAAGCAAGCGAAGGGCAATCGAAAGATCGGCAAGTCCAATTAACCAGGCCAGGATACCAACTACCTTGGGCCATTGACAGACGTGATGAAGTGTGATTGTGAGCAGATTTGACGGTGTAGGTGCTTATATTAGATGATACGGCCATCCTGGAAATTGGCTGGGGCAACCTACTAATTGTTCTTCGTTCATGTTGTGCTATTGGCTCTCCGTACTGTCTATGTTGCGCTTTGGGCTTTCCGTACTTCGTCTATGTTGCGCTCTGGGGTTTCCGTACTTTGTCTATGTTGCGCTCTGGGCATTCCGTACTTCGTCTATGTTGCGCTCTGGGCTTTCCGTACTTGTCTGGGCTTTCTGTACTTTGTCTATGTCGCGCTCTGGGCTTTCTGTAATTCGTCTATGTTGCACTCTGGGCTTTGGGTACTTTGTCTATGTTGCGCTCTGGGCTTTCCGTACTTTGTCTATGTTGCACTCCGGGCTTTCCGTACTTGTGTGGGCTTTCTGTTCTTTGTCTATCTTGCGCTCTGTGCTTTGCGTGCTTTGTCTATCTATATTGCTTGATTCTGATCTGTTGCTTGTATTTTTGCCTTTTGCCTGTCTGGTTTGCGTCCTCCCCCCCCCTCCTCCTCCCCCCTCCTCTCTTCTTCCCTTCTTCCCCCCTGTTCCGCTGGTGATAATTGGAAGCTAGAAGGGTGGAAAGGACGAAATTAGCCCACTCAGTAATCGCGTTCGAAAAGCTACGAAACATGGTTTGCCTCCCTGAACCCGATTTCCAGCTTCTAGCTCTTTGGACATGGCCCTCGGGGGAGGGAACCGATTTCCGGGACCCCAAGTGGGCTTGTCGACTGAAGTGGTAGGCGTAGTTGGTTGAACGTATGTGACTTCAATAAGATGTGCGAGAGTCGCTACACTTGTCGAGTGAAGTGGTAGGCATAAATAATTAAGCTATATGACTTGAATAAAATGGGAGGGAGTCGCGGCAGTTTTATGTTCAGGGTGTGTGCTGTGCTGTTCGGTTGCCAGATAGACAATTGCGTATTAGAGTTCGGTTTTGCGATCAATGCTATGACCTAACGAGTCCTTGAGACGTTTTTGTTACTCTCTACCAGATGCATTTCTCTGCCTGACCCATCTCTTGGACCTGGTTTGGTTTCTTGTCCTTGTGCTTTTTGACAGCGACGGAATGGATCAAGGGAAAGCAGGTGGATGAGGTCGTGCAAATCAAGAACAGGTGTGTACAGACAACGTGCCTGGTTTGTAGTTTGCGCTCTTCCTGATGTTCTGGCCATGCGGGATCGGTGGACTGTGATTCGAAAGGCTTTGCTGCTGTTGCTGTTGTTGTTGTTGTTGTTGTTGTTGTTGTTGTTGTTGTTGTTGTTGTTGTTGTCTATGTGCTATGTGCTTTGCTCGTTTTGATGTCTATATGCTGGATCGATCTGTATGTCCGCTGAGTTTGGTGTTGTGTAAGCTTGATCTGCGGTACGGGTGGATGTTTACAATGTGTTTGATCTGTGGTCTGTGCTTCTGCTCGTCCTTTGGCCATGGTTGTTTTGTCTGTGGGACTGTTTCTGAGTTCGTTTGTAGCTGTTTGTTCTTGATTCGGTCCGTGCTTTGCTTGATTTGTAGGCCGTGTTTGCGTGATTCGTAGTATGTGCTTGATTTGTGATCTGTGCTTCAATTACCGTCTTCATCCCGAATAGAATGCCCGGTCGTTATAGCTGTATTTGGGGCAACTGTCAGTCCAGATGCAGCGATAATGAGCTGCGTTCTATTCAGGTGAAGACGGTAGGCCCTCATAATTGCAGAATCTGCAAAATCAGTGGCGGCGAGATCGAGTCCTCCTTAATAGAATGCCCGGTTGTTGTAGCTGTATTTGGGCCAACTGTCAGTCCAGATGCAGCGATAATGACTGGCCGTTCTATTCGGGTGAAGACGGTAAGCCCTTATAGTTGCAGAATCTGCAAAATCAGCGGCTGTGAGATCGAGTCCTCCTCTTAGGAGGACCAGATCTGGCCGCTGATTCTGCAATTATAAGGGCCTCGTGTGAGTATGTCCTTTGTTTTGCCGTCTCTGCTTGATTTGCAGTCTGCTGTTGTTTGCTTCGTTTGCTGAATATGTATGCATGCTTGCTTGATTCCGAACACACTTGATATGCTGTACACGTCTGCATGCTTGCTTGATTTGTGATCAGTGCTTTTCACTTGACTTGGGTGGTTTTTAGCGTACGTCCCTGAGCTTGGCTTGATTTGCTGCGGATGCTCGAGTTGTACTCTGTGCTTGATCTGCGGGATCGATCAATTTGACTGTTTATATTTGGCGACTCCGTGAATTGCTGCTGAGTATCATGGCCGTCGTCGGCATGATGACCAGCATGGAAAGGTGATTGCTTACTGTTCCCATCTGCCAGATATATGTCTGGTTTATATTTGGCGACTCCTTGAATTGCTGCTGAGTATCATGGCCGTCGTCGGCATGATGACCAGCATGGAAAGGTGATTGCTTACTGTTCCCATCTGCCAGATATATGTCTGGTCTGTGCTTCGTCGGCAGTATGGCTGGACTCTTTGACTGTTTTATTTGACGGCTCCCTGAGTTGCTCAGTGTGATTGCTCAGTGTGATTGCCCAGTGTGATGACTAAAGCTGCTATGGTGGGCACGGAAAAAGGTGGTTGCCTGCCAACCCCTTTGCTTTTTCCCGTGCGCCTATTTTACCATGTTGGAGGCTGCTGCCTTCACCTGAATAGAACGTCCGGTCATTACCGGGGTGTATCTAGACTGCAAGTTGCACCACTTGCACCACATTCGGCTATAATGACCGGGCGGTATTGTTTTTGTTGTTCTTGTTGATATCTGCGACTCTGCTATGTTGCTGCGCACGGGACTGATCATCTGAATCACCTGGTTGGTTGTGCATACGTGATTTGCTGTCTGTCTGTCTGTCTGCGAGCAGTGACATTGCAAAACACCTATCTCTACCACCTGTGAAGCTGCATTGCAGCATGCTGGCAGAGGATGCAATTAAGGCAGCTGTGAATGACCTGAAGTCCAAGAGGACAAAGCCGAAAGGTGACGAGTCCATGGAGGCTACGGCGTAAATTGGGGTCTGACAAAGCGTGTATCTTAGAAGATGGTACGTTTTAGGACTTGGAAGACCTAGCGTAGAATGTTATTACAATAGTATCTGCAGACTTCATCGAGGGGTTCTCGACTTACGTCTCCTCCTAGTGTCTGTATCTGATCTGTCAGCTTTCTTGCAGTGCGGAGGAGAAAATGAATGTGGTGAAGAGAATTCCTGAGAAGGTCGACATGCCTAGCGGCAGGACATCGGTTTGCGCTGAAATGACTCCTTGGGTGCTGAGACGACTTCGGAAATGAATTCCGCTGGCAGCGGTGGATTGATTTGGATGCTCGAGCAGCGGAAAGAAGTCCTTCGTGGCCGCAGATAGATCCAGCCCGGGGGGTGGTCCCCCTTCTTCTCAAATAGCAGTCTGGTCCTTGGGTGAAGTGTGTTTTTCTTCTTTGTTTTCGTTTTCCGTTTGTTTTTTTGTTCTTTTTTGTTTTGTTTTGTTTTGTGTGCTCTGTCCTGTCGACATCCTACCTCAAGATGGTTCATTGTAACATTTGTCTGATGCTTTGGGTGTGCAAGAGGGTGCAGCGAGTAGAACGAGGGTCATCATGGTGATGAACAATATGCGGGGTAAGAAACTTCACAGGGAAGATTCTGCTCAATCTTGTGTATGATGTTGGCGTGAATCTTCTGTCCTAGTGGACATCTTTCTATAATCTGGGCCTAATTTGTTGAAGGTGCACCGAAGTTTGTGTTGACTTCTGTGCAACTCCTTGGTGTAGATTTCTCTCTTTGGTGTAGATTTCTCTCTCTCTCTCTCTCCCTCCCTCCCTTTTGTTTTAGTAGGCAGGAATCTGGTTGAGAACTTTGTAAGTAATCCGTTTGTGCACAGTCAGAAGTGCACTGGTGCTTTTTTCATCTCTTCCCTGCTCCTATTCGTTGAAGCCTAAGTTTGTGTTGACTTCAGTACTCAACTTCTCCTTCTCTCTCTCTCTCTCTCTCTCTCTCTCTCTCTCCCCCCCAACCAACCAATCTTTTATTAGCCAGAATTCTGTTAAAGAACTTCGGAAGTGTGCAGCAGTTAAAAAGTGTACCCCCCGCAGATGTCTGTCACTTAGTGTGTGCCACTTGACCAATGCATGGTTCAATTTAGCATTGCCCATCAGAACGACTCCCCTTTCCCGCTGTCAATTCCTTGTTGTAACGCTCAAAATTGAAAATTTCTCTATCTATCGAAAAGAAGATCCGAATATGTAATGGAGTAGCTCAAGTGTGGCCGTGGAATTCCCATTTGATTTGCATTCATTACCACTAAGCAGTGGTGCTAGGTGGATTTCTCTGTTTTCAACTCGATTCGATGAGAAGGATGTTGTCTTAGGAAATTTGCGTGTACTGAATGTATTGAAACTTGAGAGCGGTAATTCCAACAAATTTGCCTTTTTGGCTTGGAATCTTGGATGTAATTGTATTTCTTTTTTTCTTTTTTTTTTGTTGCTTCTATTCATCTGATTGCATGTGGATTCCCACTTGGTTCTGTATTTCAACAGTTTGCGAGTGTATCAACAGATCTGCGGCCGTTGGTATATCTGTAACTTCTTACTTGAGATGCATTTTCAAGTGTTTCTTAATTTTGTTCGTGAACGCTGCACATTTTCAGCCTTCATGTTTGGAGTTGCCCGGTATGGTTCCGTTCTCTGTAGACCATGTCAGCGGCGGACAAATCATCCACACAGATCCGGACAGCGGACGCCGGATTTCCCGGGTTGTTCCGCTTGTCTCGATTTCTGCTAACTGCTGATAGTGGCTAGGTTCGTAGAATGGAATCTGTATGGGACAACTTGTCCACAGTGTTTCTGTTCAGTTTTCATATTGGGAACCATGCCGGACATCGTAGCGGAGGCACGCAGTGCTGACTGATGATAGTGGCTTCGGCTAGTAGAATGTTTCATGGTGCACTTTATATCCTCGAGCGAGCGGAACCACTCCGGACAATAGCGGAGGCAGGCAGTGGTGACTGGTGATAGTGGCTTAGGCTCGTAGAATGTTGTACTCATTTCCTGGTGCACTTTATATCCTCACCTAGTTCGTATTTAGTTGATTAGGTAAGTTCAATAGAAGACCATATTGTCTGCAAGATAACTTGGACTCGGCAGAGAAGCAGCAAAGGAGTTCGTTGAAAATGCTCTCTCGTCGTGTCGTAAAACATGGTATATCGGGGGAGGGAGCGGCGGTGGCAACAGGGGGAGGGTGCGAGGGGGCTGGGGGAGAAGAGGGCGCAGCAACCGCGGGGGGGGGGAGAAGGGAGGCGGGGGGTGTATAGGGGGCAGGGGGCGGGGGGGGGGGGGGGGGGGGGGGAAGGGGAGAGGAGGGGACGGCCTGCATTTCTTGATTTATAAGTGTCATCCTTGCACAGGGGCCATGCTAGTTTTCTCTATATCGTTTCAATTTTAACGGATGTCCCGAAGGACAACGCAGTATATCTTTGTGGTTCATGTGGATTGTAATTCTTGTCGACGTAGAAAGGTAAAAGTTCATGTGACCTTTGTACGATTTTTGGATCGCCATTTAGTGTTCTTCCTTGAGTTGCCTCACTCGACGAATTTGGCACTGCTCTAAGCAACACAATAGGTCCCCCTTTGACGGAAGTGCTTTTGGAAATTGCCAGATGGTGACGGAACGGTGATGTGCTAGGGCCAAAGACGTTACATCTTTTTGTGCATATCAACGAGTGAAGTGGTGTGACCTGCTCGTTGAACGCGTACAATTTGACTTTTTCCATTGTATGTTCGTTGATATTCGAAGGCCATGAAGTGGGAGAGCCTGGAGGAGCTGATAAGAAACCCGAGAAAAGCCGGCCCGTGGGAGCCTTCAGCTCGTCGAGTTATGAGCGTCTTTGAAAAGAAGGGCCGAAGGCTAAGCCTTACTTCGGGAAATCGTGCCACTACCGTCTTCCCCCGAACATAAGGCACCCTAAAAATGAATGTATGCAAGCTATATTTCCGGCCAGATACGGCAAAAATAAGGGTGCGTTGTGTTCGGGGGAAGACGGTAGACTTCGTATTCTATCGGCCAGTGCTCTAGGTCCGATGACTCCAATCAGGAAGTCGAATTTGAGTTGAAGAGGATGGTACAGACCCGCACACATGCACAGTTGTACTTTTTTTTCTTTTGTGGAGTTGTGTATAGCAAATGTAACGGCACGTAATGCACTCATTAGTCTTTTTGCATCCAGATACGATGTATGTGGTTCACTCTGTGTTTGCTGTGTTTTTTCTTTTCCCCACGTTGTCCCCAATTGCGAGAGTACAGATGTGGCAAACAGTCATTTCCTTTGCTTGCAACGCTGTTAAGGTGGTCTGCTGTGTGTCGAAAGATTTGTCGAAGTGACTCTCTGGCTCTTGATGGTGGCGTGAACTGTTTGTGGCGTGCTGTTACATGAACTATCCTTGTCTGTTCTGCCGTACTGTTTCATCTGTTCGCTTTCCTTGCCTCTCTCTGCATCACGGCTGCTGGGCTTCTCATTTGCTGCCCTTGCCTCCTTGCTGCCCTGCTGCCTTTGTTTTGTTAGTTGCCTGCTTGTTTGCCTCCCCTCTCCCTGCTGTCCGCCGGCTGACGTGCTTGTGCCGAAGATGCGTGCCTTGCTGCATGCCTGCTTGCTGCGCTGTAAGCGTGACTGTGACCCCGGTGCATGGTTTTGTGCTTGGCTGCTTCTTCAAGTTTGCCTCCCTCGTGGCCTACCTGCTGTCCTGCTTGGCTGCTCGTTAGCGGCGTTTGGTGTCTTGGTGCCGTGTGTTTGGTTTTGCTGCTTCCTGCTCACCTTCCTCGGGGCCTTACTTCCCTGCTGCTTGGCCTTGCTGTGCGCCTGCTTGTTTGCTTCCCTTTGTGATGTTTTTCATGTGCTGCATGCCTGGTGTGGTGCTGTTTGGCTTTTGTGCCCATCCACTTGATCCCCGCTCACACACCATTTGCTGCCTGCTTTACCTCGCTGCTTGTGATAGCACCTGTTAGCACCTGCCTAGTTGCGCGCTCGAATTAAGGGAAATAGATTACTATGCAGACTGCACTGCATGTAGAGGGCTTAACTTCCCAATAAGTCATGGAGTCAGACTGAACAGGCTGTTGGTTACGGTGTTGGGGGTTCGAGTCTCATTTCGTCTCCGTCACCTTTCGGCCATTTTTGTACCACACTCGTGTCTTCTGTTTTTTTTTCCGGTGTCATTGGTGGAGTCACTCCTTGTGGACTCGATCTCGCAGTGTCTGTTGGAGTTTAGTCTTCTTATTGTGACATTTGAACATTGTGGTATAGCTAACTCTGTTGCTAGTGGGAGGGTGTGGACAGAGTTAGACTGGTTTTGTTTGTGCACTGTTCTGTTGTACAGACACAAACAGACAAATTCTCTTTAGTGATTTCTGTTACCCCCCAGTCCTTTTTGTCATTCCTAGACAGATTCCTGAATCCAAGCGCAACAGGTTGGCCCGCTGGCTAGCTCTTTTTGTCAGTCCTAGACAGATTTCTGAATCCAAGCGCAACAGGTTGGCCCGCTGGCTAGCTCTTTTTGTCAGTCCTAGACAGATTTCTGTTACCCCCGAACGATTTCTGTTGTCGAAGTCCTTTTTGTCCTTTTTGTTAGTGCGGGCAACAGGTTTGGCCCGTGGGCTAGCTCTTGTGGTTGGCATACCTGATGTATATCCAAGCGATGCGGATCTGGTGTGGAAAGGAACCGGCACGGGCACAGAATTGCTGGGTGCCAATCTGCATCTTTTGCGGGTCAGCTCGATCCCTCGGAAGAAGGGAGCTGGGAAAGGTACTGGTGGTCTAAGCTCAGAAAGAACAGTCCTTGGTTTTTGTGCTATCTCACACGGCGCAGTGATCTTCCATTTTCAGGTGTCACATTCTGGTCCCACTTAAACATCACCTCACCAACCAGGAGCCAGCACAATTATGACCTGGTCCCTTGTGCTGCAGCATTGTTGACAAATACTTGACTTGCAGGAGGTTGTCCACAATGAGCACGCAGAGGTGAGATCCAGGCCAGGATCTCAGATTTTTGACGCTCAAGATTGTTCCGACGCTATTTCGAGTCCGGGCAGTCGTGGCCCTACCGGCGCATGGCCCGGACCAACGACGGCCGGATCGATGCTGGAATGTAACAAATCTGAGATCCGGACCGTCAGGTCCTATCGGACCGACGACCTGGATCCATGCGGTCTTAAGATCTCAAGACCGCACATAAATTCAGGCGTTTGGGGCCTACTGGATTTTTGCATGGATCTGGCAAGCGAAGCTCTGTTACAACAGGTGAAAATAGAATAGGCCTACCAGTACGTCCTACTCCCGCCCTCCTAAAACGAACCAGTAGGCCCTACTGCCACCCTACCTGGACCAGTACCCTACCGCCGCCATGCTGCTGTGGGCCTACTGCTGCTCTTCTATGCCACCGCCCTACTAATAGGCGCACATGTGTGCGTGTGTGTGTGGGTGTTTTGTGTGTGTACATGTGGGCTTGCGTGCATGTGGTTGCTTTTGGTGTGTGGATGCTGTGCTTGCCACACACACACACACATACAGAGAGAGAGAGAGAGAGGGTGTGTGGGAAGCATGAGCAGTGTGCTGCTTGAGGTTGCCGTAACTTCTTCCACCTCCTCCCCTTCCCGACTGTGCATCATTTGGCATTCTGTTGTGCAATCCATCGGCTCCGGCTATTTGAGTGCCTTTTTCTTTTTTTCACTTGACAATAGTGAGTGTTAGAACCAGACGAGCAGCATATGGCGAGTTTTGTTGATTTGTGGGCGTGGCAGAGAGAGAGAGAGAGAGAGAGAGAGGACTTATGAAACTGTGCATTAATTGAATGCGGGTTTTCTGTTCAATATTTGAACGGACTGAATGCGCATTCAATGAAGGTGACCGAATGCGGAGTTCAATTCTGCAGTTCGGTCTCTGGTGCGCAGGTGGGGGGGTAGAGGTTGGGTCCGACGAACAGGGGAGGGGGGGGATGGAAAACACATGGCAGACACCGTGGGCGGCGGCGTGCACAAAACAGAGCTGCGTTTCTGAACGGCACACACATTTGTGCTGTTCGAACTCCGCTCCCCCCTACAGCATCCGCTGTGGAGACATGCTCTGCGGGAGAAAGACAGAGAGAGACAGAGACTCACAGACGCAGAGAGAGAGAGAGAGAGAGAGAGAGAGAGAGAGAGGATGGTGAAATACATGTGTAGACGTAAATGACGACCATCTGATAGCATGAGACCGGAGCGACTACTCGTATCTCGCTGCCACATGCTCCGCAGTTGGAACTGTGAAAACGGACGCACCTGGGGGAGCAGGGCCCTTGGACTACGTACGCAGCTCTGACAAGAGACAAGGCGTCTAACGGTACAAGGGTTTGTACTCATCCAGTGACACCACAAGACAGATCCAGATGTGCTGCAATAGCCACGTCTC